AAAAAAAAAAAAAAAAAAAGGAATTTAAAGGCTTGAAAGGAAATGGGAGTTGAAAATTGGGTATCGGCCGGCATCTCAACTCTTCCTCACTACAATAATTGCCGACGGACCACATTTGACTTTAATTAACCATCCAACGTTGATAATTTCGAACTAATATTTTTCTTTAAATAATAAAATAGGCCTAAGCTATCATCTTTATCTTATCGTTTCATTTTTTAATAATCTCCATCAAAATTAAATTATTTTCCATTGACAATTTCAACTCTTCGCCATTTTAATTATCATATCTTAAAATAATATTTTTTTTAATGAGTTAGGTGACATTTTAGGGAGAATACTAAAAGAATAAGAATTGCACAACTCTATAAACCCATTAGAATTGCACAACTCAAGAGAGAAAAAAATATATATATTCTCGTTAGTTAGGAAGGTTATTCTCCTGACGCTCCTAACCCTATGTATAAACCTATTGACCATGTCATACGAGGAAGGGTAAACAAAGTAGGATACACTCTCCCAACAAAGTATGCAATCTAATCATGCTTAGCTCAACATCATCCCAACTTAGGGATTGCACGTCGAGTTAAGCTCCACGTCAATGTTTAGCTCGCATATTCATGGTTGGAATTGGCTCCTCTTATTATTATATCTCTGTTGTTTAGCCAACATAAATTAACAATAATTCGGTCTTAATTATAAATTAAGGTAACTAATTTTTAAAAAAATTAAATTATATTAAATATACTATTACATTTCAGGAGACGTCCTATTGTTGATCGTTCTTTTTATATCGCTCACACTATCACATCTATTAAATAATTTGTTTAATTGATAAAAACAAGAATTAAATGGGAAAAAAGAAAATTTCGAACCCCAAAACAATTTGTTTAAAATTAATAATTTAGGTGCAAAAATGACAAAAACCTTCAACTAAATTTGGGCTTCAAGGATTAAACTAGAAATTATAGAATTTATTCCATATTTATAATAATATATTCTGAAAAGGTTAAAAATAAATTTAGTCGTTTAAATCCAAGTTCATAATTAGTTTAAAGTAATTAATGCTTTATTTGTTCATAATCGTAATTATTATGGTTTTAGCAAAAATCCACTAATCTGTGAAGTTAGCCGGAGAAGGTTGCTTGGTCAGAGCTCTGATGTTTGACCAAACCAACGTCGACGGAGCCTTTCTTAATTCTTCCTTAAATTAATGTCAACTCATTTTCCATAAACAAACGCCAACGTTTTCATTAATATATATATATATATATATAATCACATTGGGAAGAATTTCAATTTGCAGAGAAATGATGGACAAACAATCCAACCCAAAATCCAAAATCATGAAGTTTCTACCTAGAGCCGCCTCCGCCATCACTTTCCACAACCCGCCGGTCAGTCCCGGAAGGGAAAACCGGCCGGTCGCCGCCCGAGGATTTTCCGGTCCGATGAAGATCTCGATTATACCACGCGAGGCGCGATCCAAGTCCAAGAACTCGGAGTTCGAATCGCCGGAGCCCACTTCCCCGAAAGTCTCCTGCATCGGCCAAATCAAACATAAGAAGAAGATGAAGGATTTGGCGAAGATTACTGCGGCGGCGGTTGAAATTTCGGAGCCGAAAAAGCGGCATCTCCCGTCGGCGATAGAGAGAATTCTTATCGGTAGGAAAGTACTAGGTAGGGCGAAATCGAACGTGGAGGCGGCTTCGGCGGGGAAGCCGCCGCTGCCGGAGAGAGCGCCAGGGCTGAATCAGATGAAGCGATTCTCGAGTGGACGTGGCGCTTTGGCTAATTTTGATTGGACAGCGCAGATTGCTCCGGCTGAGGTGGAAGGAGAGGAGGGCGGGGGCGGAGGGAGCAGGGCGTCGACGGCGGTGTGGATTGGTGAAGAAATTGTGACACTTCAACCGAGAAAGGAGGTGAATATATGGAAGAGAAGAACCGTGGTTCCGCCCACACCACTTCAACTCCACTCCACCATGGTTTGAAGAAAAACATAGAACATTTCTTCTGTTTTGTTTTTGTTTTTTTTTTTAATTTAGTAATTTGAAGAAAAATCTAGTGGGATTTCTAGTTAATCTTTGTAAATTTATATTGGAAGTATTCTTTAAAAAAAAAAAAAAAAATCAACTAGAGATTTTAATTTCTGTGTTTGATAATTTTAGGTATTAAAATTAGACGTAACTCTTAAGTTATAAACTGTTAAATTATGTATTTAATTCATAAATATTTTCATAGATTGGATTAAAAAAATTATTAGATAATTATAAATTTTCCTTTTATTAAATATATATTATATAGTAATTTAAAAGTTTAGAAATTGGATAAGTGTACCAAAGTTGTATCATAGATTAAAATTTGATTTTTGGACCCAATGCTCGATTGCATGTTTCGTAGCTGAAAATATCACATCCCACTTTAAAGCATAAAAATAAAGACGTGTGAAAGAAACTATTGACCTATTCAAATTAGGAATGTGAAGTATATCATAATCATCATATGATATCTTGCAGCCACCCACTATCTCGTACTGTTTAGAAGAAAAAAAACACAATGATGGCTTGGTTTAAAGTGATTAATATGCCGTAAGTGTGTGTATTTTATTTTTACCATTTGGGTAAAAATTCAAATGTATGTCGGTTATTAAATGTAAGCAATCTTTTTTTATTAATCAGTTACCTCATTATGACCAATGAATTTTAACAGAGGCACAATAAGTAGTTATAAAATACATATAATAATAATAATTGTATACATAAATCCTAACAATACTAAGCGTGATTGCCGGAGATCACAAAGGCACCAAAGATTAAAACAGAATAATTTATAACTACTTTTTCCAAATTACATTCTCACTTTGTTCTACTTGGATTAATTTATATAAATTAAAAATATGAATTGTATACATATATTTAAACAAAAAATTAAAAGTCTGAAATGAAATAAAAAACGAATGGTAGGGGGGACAATGGAGAAGCAGGCACGTTGCTTTTCCCGGTGAAGTCATGTGCACAGCTTGGGACTCTTCAGCACTGGGAACTCAAAAATATTTTTAAAACATTTAAATATCAATAAAATCCACCCTATCAATTTTTGTACCTCCATCCTTTTGTCCTTTCTAATCTCGGCGCTTTAATTTTTTTTTCTCTCGTAATCTTTAGACAGCTCAGACATTACGTGGACACGTGGGTTCATTTTTATTTACAATATTTATTTTCCAACCTAGCCTTCAAAAATTTTAAAAAAAAAAGAAAAAAAAGAATCTAATTCTAATATAAGGGATGCCAGGGGAATCAGATAAGAAAATCAACGCTTAATCTCAACAATTTCATACTAAATACAACTATTTCCCAAAAAATAGTTCTGTTTTAATTCTATCTATAAATAAATAAAAACATATTTTAAGGATTTTTTTATTTATTTATATTTTTCAAAAATTGCATGCGAGGGAAGAATACTCTACGTCATTGCCAACCAAGGAAGAGAATGGAGAGAGAGAAAAAAAAAACTAAAATTAAAAGTTTTTTTTTTTTTTTTTTTCCGAATTAATAATAACAATCACATAAAAACTAAGGCGAAAACTTGAAAATAGGGTTTGGGATGGAAAATATAGACGACGACGAGGACGACGACGACGACGACGAAAACAAGAAAAATAATAAAGAAAAAGGAAATAAAAAACAGGAAGATAGACATGTGAAACGGCGCCGTACCAGTGCCCCGACTACTCTAACAAGATTTAGACGATTCCGGCTTTCTACACACGATCAAATGCATCGGCGAGAAGATTCCAGCATCGCCACTTCGTGTCAAATAATCGGCAGCCTCCACCAACATTTCATGGACTTCCAGAGTCCCTTTGGGAGCGATTCTGAACGCGGCGAGAACCGTGACGAGGACATGGTTCCTCCAGTACGCGAGTCGGCCCATTTTCAATCGGTCCCACCAGGGAAGAGCCGGCGGCTTGGCCAGATCCTCCTCTTTCAAAACCTCAAATCCCACTTTCTTAGCGGCCTTGGCCACGTCATCGTAGGATTTGACGCCAGGCAAAGCGTTCCCTCTCGCAATCTCTTCAATGATCTCCACATGCTCTGGATTGGCGGTGTCGTATTTATCCGTGGAAACCCACTCCAGCGAAACAAACAGCGAACCCGGCTTCAAAACCCTGTAAATCTCCGTGTATACATCTTCAAGCTTCGGCGCGTGACACGTCGCTTCAATCGCGTAAGCCCCATCGAACGTCCCCTCCGAAAACGGCATTTCCAGGAAGTTTCCACACACCACTTCACAGAGCGCGTCCAGTCCGGCTTTCTTGTTGTGCAGTCTAGCGCGTCCGACTTGGTAGTCGTTAATGGTGATTCCGACCACGTTGGCCTTGGAATGGGCGGCGATGGAGCGCATGGGGCCACCGACGCCGCATCCCACATCCAGAATTCGATCTCCGGGTTTGGCCTTCACTAGGTCGGCAACCATTTCTTCGTGGAGGCGTGTGGCTTCTTTGTCGGACTTTCCAGGGATGGGACGGGCAAAATGGAAGGACTGACCCCAGCCCCACTCGTAGATGTCGGTCACCAAATTGTAAAAGGTATCTACGAAATCAGGGACCTTTTCAGTGGTTTCGATCTTCTCTGGGCGGCGGAAAAAGGACCAGTACTGTTTGTATTTGTCCTGAATCTTCTCGGAGGAGATTGAGCCGCCGGATAGATTGACGGCAAGCTTGCCTTGGCGCTCGGCGGAGCCATAGATGAATAAGAACCAGTAGAGGGTGGCGGCTACCAGAGTTCCGGTGATGAAGAGAGGGAGAAAATCCATTTCCGTATGAGAGGAGGAAGGAAGGGAAAGGGGGAGGAGTTTGTGTGAACACTGGCAACCTTGGAAAGGAAGCTGTTTTAATGCGCTGTCGAATGGGAGTGGCACGTGAGTTGCGCCTGCGTGGGCTCACAGGCGAAGAAATGTTTTTTTAGTATTTGACAGCACAATAATAAATATAATAATAATAATAATAATTATTATTATTATTATTATAAAACAAGTAAGTGGGAAGCTCCCCTAGTGCTTCTCCAATTTTAATTATAACATTTTTAATACAACAGTGGATATTATAATTTATGATCCATACTAATGCTTTCTAATTTCCTTTTATCCCATTATACAAAATAAATATCATTTTTTTCTCTTTTTTTCTTCATGGTGGGGACTGCAGAATGCTCGGGTGCCAAACACTTAAAAGTATAACGTAAAACTAATGGCCATTAAATTAGAATACATTTTAAGCAAGAGAAAAACTATGAGTATTTAATATTTAATGAAAATATTAAAATTAAATTTAGGATTTATTAAAGTAGGTGCACAGATATAAAAATGGATTTGGTGTTTTTAAATTTTTTAAAATCAAAGTGATACCTTTTAAAACTACATTTATTTCATTAAAAAAACACCCATGAATCTTCGTTAAATTTACAAAAAAAAAAAAAAAAAAAAAAAAAAAA